CCTTGCCCGCTCCCCCAGCCCCCCCACCATGGCTGCCCTGCCTGCCCCAGCTCTGGCCCATTAAGAAACCACCCCCCTTGCACTCACCAGCTTTTGAATCTGAGCCACAGCAACAAAAATACAAACAGTAATCCTTGCCTGTTCAGTCTATTTATTTATATATCTATATCTACACACACACACACACACACACACACACACACCCTGAATATTTATATATTTCTTTAGTCATAGAGCCAAATCTTTTGTAAAAAGTCCACAAAACTAAACATTGTTATTTCCAGGTCCCAACCATGAAAAACTGATTCTATAGTGAAGAGTGGTTCTTTCAACAATTTATGCTTCGGAGCTTATGCTACTGCTGCTTTGCCAAAATGAGAGAAAGAATGAGGCTCAGTAAAAGTAAAAAAGGGCTTACAGCGACCTACTTTGCCAACAGACACCCTTCAAAACATGTCAATTTTTTTCTGTCCCTGGAAGACCTTTTGGTACTCACCTGAAAGCTCTGCCTTTTCCTCCTCCATTTGGTAAGGACATTTTTCCATAACAATATTTTAGTTTGCCGAAACACGCTCATGTTTCTGTGAAGTGTCTGCATTTTCAGACCTGGAGAGTCAAAAGCATGGAACTTCTTAAACAAATCTGAGAAGAGAACAATAATAATCCTTCAGTTTGCACAGTCTTAGCATCCATGCCAACATGCTGTATGCTGTATGAAGGTAAGCATCACTCCCATTTTAAGAAGGGAAAGAGAATTAAAATCACTTGCCAAAGTTCCTTCATGCAAGGAAGTCTAGCTGCAGGGAAATCAAATTCAGATCTTCCAATTCCTAGCCTCAGGCCTTTCCCACAGGGCTGTCTCCACAGTGTGGCTTTATAAACTGAAAGAAGTTACTCTCCGAATTACCAGCAGTGCTTTCAATGTGTTTGCAAAACTTGTAGCTCTGCATTAACCCCACCCCCCGTAAAACCGAATCCCATGTTTCAGGGCTTAAATTGGCCAGTGGAAGACATCAGGAAGTGTTCTGCCAGATGCATAATTTGATTACGGGGGAACTTTTTGTCTTCCTGAGAAGCACCAGATATTGCTGACTGGACAGTTGGAGATAATCTGCACATGATCCTAAATGCATAACCATGACCCTCTTCCTCTTTCTGCTTCCATATATTCAGGTTCAAAAGCAGAACTGCAACTTGGTGATATTTTAACATATTCCACAATTGCTAAAAAGTGCTCCAGTCTTTTTAATTCATTTTTTGTTGTTGTTGGTTTTATTAATGAATGGATTTGATGACAAATGCTACAAATTAAGAGGTATGAATAAAAAGAAAAAGAACTGTATCATTTCACAGAGTGTCTCCACAGTCCATTACCCTGGACTAGCCACATAAAAGTGTGACCAAAATCAAAGCTGTTCTTCCTAGTTTTTATTATTGTTACTACAGATGTATTCCTTTCTACTTGTCAGGCCACAGGACACGGCAGTCTAAACGAAAGAACAGGCTACTCCGGTCACCTTACTATGGAGGACGTAGTTTTTAATCGACGTGGGAGTTGTTGAGTCAAATAAGTAACATGGTTCTAAAACTTAATTGTGCATTTCGAGCCTTCTCTGTCTACCCTGATAGTCTGAACAACTAATCTTAGCAGTACATTCTGGATAGAAACTTTGCCTCTTATGACACCCTGTATAAATACATATTAAGCTTACAGCTTAATTTAATGTATTTTCCAGCCAAGCTCTCTGATACCACTGAATTTGCACGGAGGACAATACCCATGTTCGCAACCTCACAAATCTCAGAAGGGCCTTCACCCAACAAGAACACTCCTCCAGAGAGATAGTTTATGTTTTTGAAAGAGCCACCCAGGAACCACACAGAGATTTGCTGTAGTACATCAAGAAAATCCCCACAAATCACACACCACTGATTATGACATATCATCCTTCCCTGGAACCTACATGTAAAAGCCTCAAACAATTGTAACCCATACTAGAAGAAGACCCAATTCTTAAAGAGATCTTTCCCAAATCACCCATCCTAGCCTTTAAACAAGCACCAAACCTCACCAACCTCACCACCAGCAGCAAACTCCCTATGGCCCAAACCATACCTAATGGATCCAGACCATGCCAGGACAAGAAATGCAAAAGCTGCCAACACATCTCCACCACCCCCACAATAACTACACCCCACAACAGAACCATCACCATTCCTGGATCTTACACCTGCATCTCCAGAAATGTTATATATCGCATCCAGTGCACCAAATGTCCTAATGGAAAATATGGAGAACAACCCAAACAACAACTGCGCACCAGAATAAGCGCACATTGGAAGTCTATCAAAGACACCAATACCCAACTACCTGTAGATGCCCACTTCTCACAAGACAATCACCCCCACTCCGATCTCTCAGTTCTAATCCTGAAAGGGAACTTACAAAACACCTTTTGTAGATGAGCCTATGAACTTCACATCAGAAATCTACTGAATATAAAAAAATCATGGACTCAATATAGACATTGGATTTATGACGCATTACAACCTGCCTGATGTCTGATTCACTGGGTACCAGCTTGACCTGACCTCTTACACTTTTCTTTTTCCCCTCTTCCTCCCCCCACCTCCTTTTCTACCTTTTGTCTTCCTAATTTCCAGCTATTTACTTTTTTAGGCAGCCTTTTTTCTACCTTGGAAAACTACTTCAGTAGTCTCCCTTACTTACCTTTGCACCCTTCCCTGCTTTATCTTTTGTTTTCCTAATTTCTACCTATTCACATTCTCACTGACATCCTGTCACACTTCTAGCTTCTTACAGTCCTTGGAGTCTCATAACAGCAGAGACTTCTTATGCCTGAGGAAGGGCGATTGCACCTGAAAGCTTGCAAAGAACTTTGTCCCAACTACTCAGTTGGTCTAATAAAAGATATCACATCTACCCAACTAACCTTGCTATTAAGCTTACAACACTCACACAAGATCTATCCTTTCATATTTTGCAGTGAAAACAAAAGAAAAAGATAGCAAGCAACTTGATCAAGGGCATGCTGTGAAGATCTGAACCTACACACACTGAAGTCAATGGAAAACTCCCAGATAAACAACAAACTGGGAATTAGATTTTGCAGGCTGAAAAGTGGCAGGAGTGAAAGGGAAGCCAGAGTACAGTTTGAACCCTGGAACAGATCAAGCAGGGAGATAGGAGAATCTTCGCAAGTTTTTAAGAGCAGGTTAAACTTCTGTCAGGAGGTGTGGCTGATCCTGTTTTGGGGAAGGGGAATGACCTATAGATGGCCTCACATTTCTATGATATAGCATGTGCAGTAGCACAGGACCTTTTAAAAGATTTTTTAATTGGTAAAAAGTTAAAAAACTGATTTGGAATTTCCTGGGTTTCTACTACCACATCCAGCTACAGTGTCACAGACAGACATTAATGGTGACCTGAACTCTGTCTTAATACAGATAAAAGTCAAAATTCATTCTAGAAAATATGACAAAAATGAGTTGAGAGGCAAGGAATCTTTTCTGGAGTGATCTCTTTATCCCACTTGTACAGCTAGTCCAATAAAAGTTAGACAAGCTTTTAGTTGCAATGCATTCTTCATCAGGTTTCTTCATCAGAGGTGAAGTACTGACTGGTCTTTATGTGTGTAAGAAACTTCAGCAGAATTTCAACTTCTTTTCATTATAAAGATTCTTTCCTCTCATCAGTCATGGCCACAGAGCTTTTGGAAAAAAAACTCAGCAGAACACTTTGCCAGAGGATGAGTTACGGAATAATTAATTATTAGATATTAAGGGTAAAAAATATGAAAGGAGTATGGAAACTCTTTTCTGATAACTGCTAAATATGCAGAAGTCAACTGTTTTGAAATCTACTTACGAGTTGCTGCTAACACACTTTCTCCTGTGCTGCTTTGCTTTGTTTGTCCTCCTAGGTTTCAGCAATTCTCTCCAAAAGCATGCTTGACGAGATCCATTTGTTTCTGAGTTGCTTCCTTTTTTCCCACCTTTTTATATCCTTCCTGTTTTGCTGCTCTTCAGATTTCTGTTACACAAAGCTAACAAAGAATAAATGTTGCCGAGTAGAAAAAGTTAGTCAGGAAGCTTTTGCAACTGTGAAAACTTAATAATAAAAAATACAATCCCTGTCCTCCAAAATCTCTAGTTTCTTCATGCAATTTCAGTAGCTGACACTAAGAAGAATGGATTGACACACTAATATGGACAGGTGCTGAACTTTACTTACTGCTGTAAATCAGCTGCTCTGCTCTCAAAATACTGGAGAGCAAAGAGCTTTTAAAGGTTCACCTACAAAATAATTCCACCTCATTAACCCATTGGATAAAAAGCACAGCAGACAACACAAATGCTAATTTTTTTAATACAGCATTTCATAGATAAAATTATTTTCATTTCACCTGTAGAAAAGCAGCTGAATGGTAAACCTGCTGGGCATCTGACTCCCCAGGTACCCCTGCGCTGCTACATCCCCGTTCCCCCCACCCATCCCAGCCTGTCCCTCACCCCCTGATGCCTCCATTTCCATTTTCATTGATTGGCTTTCTTGCCTGCATTGCATGCCAGCCTCTGGCTT